TGGGCACCAATTCACAAAAAGAACATTGGGGAAGTGGAGAAAGTGCAGAGAAGGAAAACTAAACTAATACGAGGCATGGAGGAGCTCAGCTATGAGGAAATATTAGAGGAATTTAATTTATTCTCTCTTGAGAAGAGGAGATTAAGGGGGGATATGATCAACATGTATAAATACACCAGTGGCTCATATAGTGAATTAAATAAATTTAATCTCCAAGCACGGAAAGGTTTCTTCACTGTAAGAGCTGTGAAAATGTGTAATAGACTCCCTCAAGAATTGGTTCTGGCCAGCTCAGTGGATTGTTTTAAAAAAGAAGCTGATCCAGGGAATATCCGATTGCCTCTCAGGGGATCAGGAAGGATTTTTTCCCTTGCAGGAGCAAATTGAATAATTCTTGTTTTTTTGCCTTCTTCTGGATCAACTGTGGATATATGAGTATAACTTTCTTTTTTTTTTTTTTATAGTTGCACTGGATGGACTTATGTCTTTTTTCAGCCAGGCGAACTATGTAACTATGTAACTGTAGTATCAGGCAACAACACAACTGAAAAAAGTGAAGGGGGTCTGAATACTTTATGCATGCACTGGGTCTATATCCGGTCCTGATGAAAATGTCTTTGAACTGTGTTGGGCTCATTAAATCTATGACTCTCAAATGTGAAAATGTGGAGTAATAATATATATAGACTGAGCAATCAAATGTGATACTGGGTCAGCCATTGATTTTATTACATTCATTTTATTTTAACAATTGTGATACAAATAAAACTTATTTAACTATAACGGTTTATGAGAGGTGTGCCTAAAAGCTCTGTTTTGGTCAAAACACTGTGTTGTAGATAATTTTAGGGATTTTGGAACTACACAGAATTTATTAATCACTGTATAATTCCAGTACAGAGCTCTCCCTCCAATACCCACTCAGTATAGAGTACTCCCTTAATACCTCCTCCAGTACAGGGCTCTCCCTCGAACACCCCTTCCCAGTACAGAACTCTCCTCCCAATACCCCCCTTCAGTACGGAGCTCTCTGTCCAACCCGGCCCAATACAGAGCTCTTCCTTGAACACCCTTCCCAATACCCCCTCCAGTACGGAGCTCTCTGTCCAACCCGACCCAGTACAGAGCTCTTCCTCTCCAAGTTCCCACAATGCAGATCTCTTCCTCCAATACCCCCTTCATTACAGAGCTTTTTCCCTAAACCTCAGTACACAGCTTTCCCTTCGATATCCCCACCCCAGAACTCTCCCTCAATGCCTTGTTCAGTAGGGGGCCCTCAGAACAGAGTTCTCATCTCAATACCCCCCAGTGTGGCAGAGATAGAACAGGGAAAGTTCTCAGTACTGGACTCAATGACTGTTGAAGATGCTGCTGCCACGAGGCTGATGCAGCTGATCTTCTCTGTGTTTTCTGTGGCAGAAATTATTATGAGCTGTCTGAGAGGTACACTGCCATTGTAAACACAGAAGCCAACAAAGGAAGTGAGTACTGGCTTCTGTGTTTACATAAAGATAAAAGTAGCTGCAGTATCTCTTGACTGCCAGCACAGCCTGTGTTTCTGCTCTTGGGATGAACTGCCGTTTTCACATTTGACACTGGAGATTTTTGAGCTGATGCTATACTGTGCGCTATAGTCGTTGTTGTTACATGGCCTTCTGTGTTAACAGTTACAGTCAATAAGTTGGTGAGAATGGAGCTGCCCCACTTTCTGGCCAAAAAAACTCCTGACAATGAGTAACGTTACCCAAAGATGGCATAGAAATGGAAATTTTCAAAAAAAGCAGTGGATTTCCATTACAAATATAATCTAACATAACAATTTCACCTGTGCCAGTCACAGTTTTACTGTGAGCATACGTGAGCAATGACCTGACATAGTCTAGCTGCCTGTCCTTACCATCATTTCCATTGACATTAGACAAACTCAAAATTCCCCTTGAGGACATAGCCTATAAAGTAACATTAATTGCTGGCAATGTCAAACTGCAAATAAAGCTGTGACAAAACATCTTTAAATTGGCTAGGTGGGCAAATCTTCTGAAAGCTAATGTTCCTCTGTTCAGTATCATGTGCCTCAGTGTAGCTTTTTATTGTAGAGTTCAAGCTCCGACACATCACTCCATGTTTTTGTAGCTAATCCTGATGGAACCATTGAACTTCCCTGTGCGATGGTAATGCCTGCTCATTGGGCCAGGTTTCCACCAGTCAAGGCTCCCTTTTACTAGGGAGAGTTTCAAGGGGCCTTCACTCTGTTGGAGAGATGCTGAATGCTATAGATGTGGACTATTCAGGCTAGCCATCAGGGAGAATTTGGAGATCACTCATATTTGAGAAACTTTGAGATCACCCAAGATTTACACAAGTTTTTAATAGAAGCTTATTAAAAAAATGAATAACCAAAGATTCAAGCATTTTTATAATTGAATCTTATATGAGTGAAAACTGTGTAAATCTTCGGTGAAAGCACTGCAAAATACACCACTTGATTTTTTTTGTTTTAGTGCTGAAATCTCAATGATGAGAATTACTGCTCCTGGTGCCGAGAACTAATGCTGCATGACTTACCACTCCAAGGCTAGTACATACAGTACAGGACTCATTGGGGATAGATAATTAAAACTCACAAAATATAGAATATCATTATTTATGTCCCTTAACTTGGCTTTAAATATACAATCTATGAAACTGGTCCTGCAGACATACTTATCAGGGAATATCCAATTGCCTCTCGGGGGATCATGAAGGAATTTTTTCCCCTGCAGGAGCAAATTGGATCATACTTTGCTGGGTTTTTTGCCTCCCTCTGGATAAGCTGTGGGTATAGGATTATAACTTTTTTTTTATTTTTAATGGTTGAACTGGATGGACGTTTGTCTTCTTGCAGCCAGACTAGCTATGTAACTAGGTAACTCATGATCAAATACATCTCTCATAATTTATCATGAATTTCTGTAATTTCTTACCTAACCCTTTTTGTAATGGGCAATGAGTTTTGATTGTATAGATACAACAAGAACAAATTCAAGACACATAGATTTAAGCCACTCAGACTTAAACCAATTCCCATGTGCCATTTTAATTTAACATTGAGTTATTTATTTGTCCCAATGCCATTTTAAACCCAACTACGGGGGCATTTTTTAAGGATAGCTCCCCAGTAGGGGTTTAAAATAGAAGAGCAACCCTGGCTACAATATCCAATCCCACTCTGGTGCTATAAGCCCCAGTAAATTCTTTCCACTACTAGATGTCTTCCAGATTGAATGGTACCAAGTGTCATGTAATTCAGAAGACTGACATCTTAGTGCAGTATATCAAGGGCCTGAAAGGCATCACCAGGACCTCCTGCTCTAGGAATTTCCCAACACCAAGCTCCATCTACTGGCCCCATGCTGTATTTTCACTTTAAATAATTAATTTCACTACAGCACAGAATATAGTCTTTTTACATTTGATTTTTGCCTCATTCGCATAGAACACTTCTGAGCTTTACTTTTCTGCTGTTACGCAAAAATCATACTTAGTGAATTAAGTCAGAAAACATTATCAATTATATTTTGGAGTTAATATCTGGGATTCACAAATTAGACAAATACATTGAGAAAAACTGCAGGATAATGCATTTTCCCCTATCTCTTCACACTCAAAATCAAACTTATAAAAATACATGTCTCCATATCAAAGTAAAGCCCATGTGCCCGGAAAAATAGCGTAGAATACATTAGGCTATATTACAAAATATAAAATATATAAGGTAGGGAAATGGAAAAACAATGCTCTGGCATTGATCGGGGTGTAGGGATGAAAAGAGCCCGGGAATCACAAGTTCAAAGGACATAAAGTGATCAACCTGAAAAGTCAGAACCAGAAAGGTTTCCATGATGCAGAAATTCTACAGAGGATCCATGTTTCAAGATGTGGCAAAATAACTTATCTACAGGGGTACAAATGGTAGGCCAGAAACTCACTGACTGGAAACTGAAAGCAGCAAATTAAAAATACATGAAGACATCCCTTCAAAATTGAAAGAGGTCCATCACACCATTAGCTCAGAACTGGCAGCAAGCCACAAAGACCCTGAGACACCCATCGACAGTCCAATGAAGTCTTATTGGAAGTAGTTCATGCAAAAATGTTTTGACCAAAAAGCCATTCCTTTGTGGTGAAAATTAGGCCAAACAGCTCATTTACGCACAAAGAACACAAGGACCGGCAGAGAAAACAATGCGAACAGGTGCTCTAGACTGATGAGTTACACTTTGGTATTTCTGTTTCTAACCAAAGGTAGACACAAACTAAGAACACAGTGATTATTGCTAGTGGCTATAGCCGCTGTCAATAACCACATGTAAAAATCCAACGTGTTGGTTTTACCAAAGTCAGTTGATGGATACTTGGGTATAATCAGCCTACCCATAGATGATTCAGATCTCAGCTGGTCCCTGCTGAACTGGACGAGATTCAAATCATCTATGGCCTTCTTAAGATGAGTTCCAAAATCAACAAAGCACATTGAACAAAGTAAAGTAACTAAAGGTCAGCAAACAAAGTCTAAAAGCCTAAAAGATAAAATATCTTTTCTAGAATTCTTCTACTCTGGGAGGACCCAGATTCAAACATACCAGTGTAACTAAAGCAATCCATTGAGGGTTAGTGTATCTTTTTTATTCAGCCAGCAGGCTTAAAAAAAAAAGAAAAACCTAAAAGATTACTCCACCTACAAAAACAAGGTAAACAGAGAAATCCCTGACTTTGAGGGCAACGTGGAAAAAAATCCTTTATAATATATGCTTGGGAGATGCCATTAAGCTCTATGTGGTGTTACAGAACAGTAGAAATTTCACTGACAACACCACCATTTTCTGTCATCAATTATTTTGGATGTGTAAATGATTTTTTTAACTTTTACATTTAGCTTGGCTTAAATAAAGCAACAATCTGACTAAATTAACACTGAAACAAAAATGGCTTTGTTGGTCGCAACACATACAGACACATGCGCACACACACACACATACATGTACATACACAAAGACACATGTACACACACGCAGACACATGTACAGATACACACATGTACATACACACAGACACATGTACAATTGTACATGCATACACAGACACACACACATGTACACGTACACACACACACACCCCATAGAAAGTTGCAGTACTTCGTCGTTCATTCACAGATCTGGGTACTGCACTCTAGGGGAGGCAGAAAGCACATAACACACTCCTTGCTTTGCTTTCACTGCGCTCAGCTATTGAGCAGTATGATGGCTCCCAGTGCCAATGACAGATCCGGCCTGAGCTCTGAGCCTTCTCAGCAAGATGGCCTTGGGGGGGACACTCGCCCCCACCATAATTTCCACTCGCTATTGGCAAGCAGGCAAGTGGAAATTTCAAGCCCTGGGTTACACCCAATAATAAGTCAGCCCAGTACTCTCACATCCAATATCCTTACTTCTTACACCAAGATTTAAAGGCCAACTGTAGTTCAAAAATAGGCCAATAAAGTCAGGCTGTCTCAAAATACTACGTGGTACTGTTGATTTTTGTTGCAAAACTACCCTAGCAGAACCCATCCTCCCATCCCCTCCAGAGGCTACATTTAAAGAACACTGTGCACAGAGTGGGAGTAGTGGTCTCTGTACATTGGGTCACTGGTGTTGCTCAAATATCAGAGGCGCTCCTTGGTTCTAACTTCATTCTGAAGCATGACAATAAGCCTAAACATAAATGGAAAGCCTGCCATAGACGGAGCAAATTTCTTTCCTGCAAGTCGCTGCTGAACCAGTTGAGATTCGAACTGTCTATGACCGACTTAAAACCTATATGCAGAGAGAAGAGGAACAGGGATTCTTACAACAGATGGTATCAAGTCAGTCTGGGATTATTTGCAAATTAAAACCAAGTCAGCCAGGTAGTCTACAGTGGAACTATGACACATTCTCCAAGAACCTTAGAACAATCTAGCATATGAGCACATTCAGAAATGATAAGTGTATGAGAATTGCTGCTGTCTTTGAGGTTAAGGGTGGGGACAACAAAAAATGATTACATGTTTTGTGTTTTATTTTGTTCACTGTGCTTTCTTGGAAGTTTCTTCAATAATACAATCAAACTACATTCCCTCTTTACAGCATTTCCAAATACGACAATAACTTTTGCACATAATAAACCAAAACAATCTGGCACAGAGGTGGGTAATTCTGTATCTGAGGGATTTGTATTCCTTCATCCCATGACATTTGGCACCTTGTTACATTCCAAAATAATTTAAACGTGTATAGTTGTTTTGATGAGGAGTTTTCATTATGTCAGTTGAGTTTCCCCTTATCCCCAATTTCTTCCTGTTCGATGGGTTTTCTACTCGCAGAGGCACAGGTAGTAAATCTCGCTCCTTTGCTAACTTGTATATGGGTTGGTGGGACAGGTTGCAGTTCTTTACGAGTAAAAATCCCCACAGACAGGAAGTTGTGTGGTATGGTATATAAACGATTTCCTTCTGATGTGACAATGGAGTGACCTGTGGTTTATTTGGATGACAATGATTTTATTTTACTTTTAAAAGGGGTTTAAACATTATTCATTTCTTTGGCTATCACTTCAATAGAGGATGTGGATACAGGTGTAGTGTCCACAAGAACCTGCTGGAATTTATGTGCTGGCAATGACACTCTTAATCCGGTCATACATTGATAGAAATTTGGTTGGTTCAGCAAATTTCAATCCATTCATGGGCACTGTGGTTGTACACAAGTCAATCTATTGATTGACTTGTGTACAACCAGCCTGTTGTGTTTTTCCTGAATGATTAGTGCCAACAGCCATAGCTGGCAACACTAATCATTTAGTTCTGCTAGCAGGGGAGGCTTCTTGCTGACAGAACACAATAGCAGTGCTGGAGGGATTCCCCCATCAACACCACTGACTATGTAGATGGGGGAATCAAGCAATCTATGGCCTGATTTAGAGCCATAAATTGTCTCCTGTCCCACACAATTAAAGCTATACAAGTTGATGAATATATAAATCCTGGAAGAGATTGTTCTTCTGATTTCCTCTTTAAAGAGTAACTCCACTTTTGTTGAGACATTCCCCTCTGGGTGATAAACAGTATGTACATTGCAAAGATTTTAAACTTTGTGCAGAGTCCTACCTTTTGTTATTCTGAAGAAATAGCTGTTTGTTTGTCTGTTTCCATGTGTAGAGTGAATCTGTATGGAAGTGATTTTATAATAATCTATCAGCTGCTGCTCCTGCAGGGTTCTAATGAGGAAAATTGCAGGGTCTGCATCCCTATATTCATATTTCTCTTTGGGAGTATCTCACTAAAATAGATATTTTGAAAGGGGAGTTACCCCTTAAAGAGTAGATCATATAGACAGATGTCTTGGTGAAAGAGGATATCTTGCTTGGTTCACCATGAGATCAGGGATTGCATCAGGGAGATCAAATGGAAGATCTACTGATGGAAGATGGAATGAGAAAAGAAAGGGGAACAATTGTAGATAGGGCAAATAGACCAGCATTTTTTACTACATTTTTCCCCAAGAACCTCATCAGATAATGAATATTGTAAAGGGAGACTTTCCGACTGTATACAATTTTTTTCATCATACATTAAAAAAATAGGTACAGATTTTCTAGGAGGAGAACCCCCGCTTTAGATTCTGTATTTTCACCTGGTTAAAATGAGTCTAAAGCAACCAGGTAAACATGGTTATCTTCTGTGGGGACCATGTGGGTTTAGAACTTGTAGATATTGTTGGGTACACACTAAGGAGGTTCATTTGATATTTTCAACAGAAAATTTCCCCATTTGGCATATTATTAACTGTAATACATGTAGTGTTATTTATGTTATCTCTTGTTCAGTATGCTCACTGCAGTATATAGGGTGTACCACTTGACCATTGGGATTTAACATTGGGGAGCATCACTGTGGTGGACAAAATCTATCTGCATTTCAACATTCTAATGTCTCTAAGCATTTTTTGGCAGAACATCAGGGAGACATATCTTCATTCTCCTTTCATGGTGTTGAAACATTGTTTGTGTTTAGCAGAGGCAATGTCTTACGCCAAAGGCTCCTGTGGTGTGAGGAATACTGATGTTCCAGGATGCCATCTGGTTTAGATTACCACCGGGGCGTCAATTTACATCTTCAGTGATAAGATAATTCCATGTAATGCCAGAAACAGTTTCTGTATTTTAAATGCATCTGCGCATTGCATTTTATATGTTGTAATTTTGTATAGAAATATGTTTAGGTATTTCAATTGATGATTGCTATCCCACCCATCTATGTGTTTTGTGGAGTATTGGCAGTTAGCTTTAGTTGGGACCTCTCTGCAGGCTGGAATGGGATAGCGGTACTGCCAGGGTTATGGCTTTGAACAAATGTATGCTGGTCTGTGGACTAGTTCATGTGTACCAGATCATTTTGCTGCATCATGTTTAAGGACTGAAAGGAGTCTTCCTGAGCACCAGTGAATCCCTGTAGCCCAAAACATACTAAGAGGTAGAGCAAATATCCTTTTCTATTACTTATGACTTCTGCATACTATTATACACTGCTCAAAAAAATTAAAGGAACACTTTTTTAATCAGAGTATAGCATCAAGTCAATTCAACTCTTGGGATATTGATATAGTCAGTTAAGTAGCAGAGGGTTGTTAATCAGTTTCAGCTGTTTTGGTGTTAATGAAATTAACAGGGGCACTAGATAGGCAACTATGAGACGATCCCCAAAACAGGAATGGGTTTACAGGTGGAGGCCACTGGAATTTTTTTCCCTACTCATCTTTTGTGACTGTTTTTCACTAGTTTTGCATTTGGCTAGCATCAGCATCAATACTGGTAGCATGAGGTGATACCTGGACCCTACAGAAGTTGCACAGACAGTCCAACTTCTCCAGGAAGGCACATCAATACGTGCCATTGCCAGAAGATATGCTGTGTTTCCCAGCACATGCTCAAGAGCATGGAGGAGATTCCAGGAGACAGGCAGTTACTCTAGGAGAGCTGGACAGGGCCGGAGAAGGTCCTTAACCCATCAGCAGGACTGGTATAAAAATCTTTACCAAGTAATTATAGACCTGTTAGTTTAACATCTACAGTATAGTTGGGAAGATACTGGAGAGTTTAATAAAAAACCACTTATGATGAGTTCTTGCTGGAAAAAAATATGCTATGCAACAGACAACATGGATTCATGAAATACAAAGGTTGTCAAACAAATCTGATTTCTTTTTATGAGGGGGTGAGCAGAACCTTGGACAGAGGGGTGGTGGTCGACGTGGTATACTAGAATTTTGCAAAAGCTTTTGACATGGTTCCCCACACATGGCTAATGGGTAAGATAAATTCTACAGGCTTGGAAAAATTGGTATGTAAATGGATAGAAAACTGGCTAAATTATATCCGGAGAGTAGTGGTTAATGATTCATACTCTGAATGGTCTAGGATCTTCAGTGGTGTACCCCAAGGTTCAGTGTAGGGACCCTTACTTTTTAATATATTTATAAACAATATAGGGTCTGGGATTAAGAATCCCATTTCAGTCTTTGCAGATGACACCAAGCTGTGCAGTGGAATAACGTCCTTACAGGATGTCTTCAACTTACAAGCCGACCTCAATGCACTGTGTAATTGGGCAACTATGTGGTAAATGAGGTTTAATGTTGATAAATGTAAGGTTATGCACTTGGGGGCTAAGAATATGCATGCATCATACATACTAGGGGAGGTACAACTGTGGGAATCAATGGTGGAGAAGGATCTGGGAGTTCTGGTAGATCACAAGCTTAATAATGGCATGCAATGCCAAGCTGCAGTTTCTAAAGAGAGCAAAATCCTCTCTTGTATTAAAAGAGGTGTAGACTCCAGAGAAAGAGAGATATCATTTTATCCTGTACAAATAATTAGTAAGACCTCATCTGCAATATGCAGTTCAATTTTGGGCACCAATTCACAAAAAGAACTGGAGAAAGTGCAGAGAAGGGCAATCAAACTGATAAGAGGCATGGAGGAGCTCAACTATGAGGAAACATTAAAGGAACTGAATGTATTCTCTCTAGAGAAGAGGAGATTAAGGGGGGATATGATCAACATGTATAAATACATCAGTGGTTCATGTAGTGAACTCCGTGTAGAGCTATTCACCTTGAGGTAATCTCAGAGGAAAAGAAATTTAATCTCCAAACACGGAAAGGTTTCTTTACAGTAAGAACTTTGAAGATGTGGAATAGACTCCCTCAAGAGTTGGTTCTGGCCAGCTCAGTGGAATGCTTTAAAAAAAGACCCGGATTCTTTCTTGGATACACAGAATATAACTGGTTACTGACATTTATAGGTAAAGTTGAACCAGGGAATATCCGATTGATTTTGGGGGAATTTTTTCCCC